TGTAAACCATTTTTTTAAGAGTTAAATGTTAAAAAATATAAGACATTTTTAGTCTTTTGAGGTGTAGTTATTGCATTTTTTTTAAAAGTGTCTCTATTGATGTTGACTTTATATTTATTGTAAGAAATTTAATAGGGATAGATATGAAAAGATAGAGTTAATTTGAAAGTAGGTAACTACTTTATTAGAGGTGAGATTTATTTAAAAATACTTTATATTTTTTAACAGAGAGAGTATATATTATATTATATTTTGTTAGTTTTAAATTAAATTTTATATAATATATAAAATTTAATAAATAACATAATATAAGAGAATGTCATATCCATTCTATAATTTGAATTTATGAGATGAATTTGAATTATATTTGATATCATTAATTAAATTTATGAGATAAATTTAATTAAATTTTTGTTAGTTAAAGAAAGACTAAAAACCCTAATTTATATAAATAATAGATGAGGGGATGTGCTCTGTGTGAGACAGTTAGAAAAGTCTTGACAGCAAAATACAATGAGAGCCACGGAAACACCCTGGAGAAAAAAGAGTTCAATGTTTAAAAAAATAGATGAACATTTCAAGCGCTAACACGCTATTTGAGTGAAAATTTGTTTGCGGGGATACCAGTAAAAGGAGCAGATATACATTGTCAACTCCTGAGTCCAAACTCTTAAAGAGAATGCACGTGAAATTTAAAAAATAAAAGGTAACCCTTCTATCCATCTTAACTTAAACAAGTTTGTTCGATTCATATCGGGATAGGGATTTAAAATTTTAATCTTCCGTTACGCTGCCTATCCAACATGAGGAACATCTGCCGTAGTGTAAAAATGCAACCAACATGAGCTGGACCTCCCTATGCCATGCGAATGTTGCAATGTGTTGTCTTGTGATAGGAATCTTGTTTATGAGTGTGGAAAAATGATATGCATGTTTGTGTAATTATGATTGATATTAATGTTTAAGAACAAGCTTTTATGTGAATGATGAATGATATTTGATATGGGTTATATTGTGGAGAGAGCATGTTTATGGATGAGATATGAGATAAATTGTTGATTTAATTGCATAATATGTGTAATATGTGCACAGCATGATCATTGACAGGAGTTCGCCTAGGGAGAGGAGTACATTGGAAAATTCACATAGTACTAGCGGCTAGCCTTGGCACCAACCATTAGAATCAAGAGGTAACCATTGTCTCATTATTGATTCGAGACTGTCATACTTATTCTTTGATAGAATCAAACCTAATTAGTCTCAATTGGTTTATGAAGAGGTTTAAGAATACGACACACCATGGTTGTTAATATTAAGGGAAATTGATTTTTCAAACTGTGAGTTAACCTTAGCCGATAGCTCTTCATAAGTAGAAGGCTAAGTTAGTCCAAGATATGGACATAGCTACTGATAATCACTGATTTTATGTCTGAGGTAACAACAGGATATAAAGTTGGCATTGATCATGCATTTAATTTCGACCACATGATTGTTATTATTGTGGTTCAACATATTTTTGGGGCGCATAGTTGTTATTTTTGTGACCCCAAGATATGTGTATTTGTGATATGACATGTGATATATGTTGCACCCTTATTAACACTTAATTCTAGAATCAAGAATTTAGGATGTTACAATAATCATATATAATTAATCACTAAGTGTAATTTATCATAGAGAGGCATACTCCATAACTTATGTATTAAATTCAAAGCAAAAAAAAAGTCATCATGATGCTTTTATTGCTCAATCCAAACCATCAACATCACTAATGCAATGTTACAGATACAATGATATACTCAAATTAAATTTTTGATTACTTCTGCTCTTGGGCTACCACCCCAAAAGTCAAATTTGAATTTCCCGAGGGAGCTTCCTCAAACGTAACCTCCAAGTACAGTCAGCCTATAATAACCAAAAATAGCTTCAATGACTAATTATTATTAGTTAACCCTTAATCTTGATTAAGACCTAATCCCCTCATTAATCATGATTAAGCATAACTAGCCTTAAAACTCACTTCCATTAGTTTATTAAACTTTCATTGAGGCTAATATGTAAGATCAGACGACAACATCCAAGAAAGGAGTAAATTGGGAGTTTAGGAAATTTTTGACTAAACAAAGATTTTCACAAATTGTGGCATAATTGGAAGGTGCAATAAGAAGTTTGGAATAAAATAAGTGGGTATAAAACTTAATTTGTAAGAGTATTTCTTAAAACTCTTTTTGACAGAAAAGCTTAATAATTATATTCACAGTCAAGTTTAGAATATAGAAAACTCAAACAGCAATAGCACAAGAACAACTTTCACAATCTCAAGTCAAGGAACTAAGGGAGAGAGCAGAATATAAATATGCTAAACATAAAGACTGAAGAGATAGAAATACTGCACAAAGAATTTATCATAATTTAGCCTAACCATTTGACTTACATCCAATCCCTAAGATTAGCCTTGAGATTTTTTGCTATATCTACAAGATAAAAAGAGTACTTGCCACTTCAGTATAATTGCTTGAGCACTTGTGAGATGTTTACAAATATCTCACAGTACTTGTAAGTCTTTTAACCTTAAGAGAATGCTTCTCTTTAAAGCAAATAAACCTTTCCTTACTAAAGTCACATTCATAGAGAAAATCTCTTCTTTGTATAATACAAGGGATAACAGCTATTGATTCACTTAAGAATAAGTGAAAGGTGTTTCCTAATGAAATATCTCTCAAAGATTAGATAGGTACAGTTTAGATACACTCAAGGAACTCTCTCAAAAGAGTATAATATAGTTTAAGTCTTATAAACTGACTGAGAGCTTTTTCACATGAACATGGTACAAATCAATGAGAATTCAATACAACTAAGTTTTGATACACTTCAATTATTATCCATTAACTTAAATGGGGTCTTATATATAGTTTAAGTAGTTTAGATAGTTAAGGACACTCAAGAAAGTAATTATAGCCATTGGACATGTGTTAGAGTGAAGAACATTAGAAAAAGCAACCTTACCTGTGAAGCATTTAATGTAGTGTGAGAATCCATTTCAAGTGTAAAATAGTTCTATCCACATATGGAATGGAGCTTGTACAATTTCCTCTGGTTTACTCATGACATTTCAGACGTGGGACTATAATGCTCTTAAGTGTAATTTAGATGACAAAAGCTCCTAGCTTCTCTATGGGACAAATCACATGTTGGTACTAATGGTTTTCAAGCGTGGAATGAATGATAGAAGTACCTAGCTTCTTTATGTGACAAATCACGCTTGGAATACTATAATACAAGCTTAATTTAGTTTGCTTGGTTTTAAGGCTCTCTAAGGTCATACTTGAACCTAAAACAAGTAGCTTACATTTTAAGCATGGAACAACTTGATCTAAGCATGAAATGTCTCTTATGCAAACTCAAACTAATACATTTAGAGAATTCAAGTGAGAGCACAAGGTGCACTCAAGCATGAATTAGAACACAAAAGCATCTCCAAGACATTTCCTATACTCAGTTGATAAAGCACATGTGGATCACTTTGATTCAAGTGTGGAATGCACTGAGGATAGCCAAAACACATGTGGATTATTCCAGATCAAGCGTGAATTGGAATAGTGAGTTCAGGTGCATTACAAAGATTTGACACTTAAGATTAAAGGACTTATGAGCCTAAGGTTGGTTCTAAAATGATGCATTCTTACCATTTAAAATTATGTGATTAAGCTCTTGTAGTTTTCATATTGAATATAAGAGAAGAAAATAACTATTATACTAAATCTTCTCTTGCTTTTCATGCTTTAAAAGGTTTTGTTACTTTAATGGTTTTTAAAATCTACACAAGTAACAAACACTTCTCTTTTGATTTTGTGATTACCAAAACACATGGTTCAACATAATAAACACTGGTAGCTAGTCCTATTGACTAAAACTTGATTATTTAATATTAGGGTTATCTAATGATTTAGAGGATCCAAAACCCTCTAAATGTGCACCACAATAAAACCTAATAGAGCATTGTCTTCCTCATGTGTCCCTTCTCTCAAATCTCACTTGTTTTTCCTATTAAAATTGTAGGGTCAATGTTTAAAATCTCATCACGTTCGCTGCGACACATTTCACCATCAACTATAGTGGATGACTAAAAACAAACAGCTTTATTTGAACCCAATAATTTAGGCCAAATAGCTTAATAGCCTTTTAAGCCGAAATTAAACCTCTGATAGGGTCTAATAGGCTTAAATGACCATCCAAACTCTATAATTAATTAGCAATAACCTTAATTAACTAATTAAATTTCTTAATTAATCAATTAATTTAACCTTTGGATTAAAATTTGGGATGTTACATGTTTCAATTAAAAGGTAAGGGTACCCAATGTTTCTTTCAGAAAACTTTTTGGGCATTTTTGTTCCTTCTTAACTCTTAAAGATAATTCTTTTTCTAAAACATTAACAATTAACATTCACAATATATCATATGGCAAATAATGTCTAACTTAGTTAGAAAAACAAATATATACATCTTCTTACATAATTGAAATATGATATGGACCAACTGGGATGATTACAAAATATGAGAATTAATTCATCAACATTTCATCATAACAGATAATTAAAAATTAAAATAAATTAAATTATATTATATCCAATCTAGGTTTTATTGACGATAGACTAAGGCTTAAGGTTTAGGGCGGGGCCAGATTTGTATCAGAGCTGGAAGGTCCAAATTGGTCCTAAGACAAAACGACGTCGTTAAAGAAAATTCCCCGAAATTTCCCGCACAAACTCCCCCTTGGCGCTCTAGCATGTGACGCAATTCCCACCAGCAGTTTTAAATGTCTCTATCCGCCGCAGACACAATCGTCCAATCAGAAATGCGCATAACTAATCCGACGGCCATCATCTCCTCCGTACTTCCTTCACGCGGATCCCGATCTCATCCAGCGGTTCGAATCATTCTTCCGTCCAATCGCCATAAATATAAATAGAAACGCCCCGCCTTCCTCTTGTTCACTCTTCATCTGAGTTTCACTGTCTGAAGTGTATTAAGAAATCAGAGAACACCAACCATGTCTGGAAGAGGTAAGGGCGGTAAGGGTCTGGGGAAAGGCGGAGCGAAGCGTCACCGTAAGGTTCTGAGGGATAACATCCAGGGAATTACGAAGCCGGCGATTCGTCGTCTCGCGAGGCGTGGCGGAGTTAAGCGAATCAGCGGTCTAATCTACGAGGAGACCCGAGGGGTGCTCAAGATTTTCCTCGAGAACGTGATTCGCGATGCTGTTACCTATACTGAGCATGCTCGTCGGAAGACCGTCACCGCTATGGACGTTGTGTATGCTTTGAAGAGGCAGGGCAGGACCCTCTACGGTTTCGGAGGCTAGATAATTAGAGATTTTTTTAGGGTTTTCTGGATTATGGTCTTTTATGTTCTGGAATGTGTTGATATAGTGTAATTGCTGTTGAATGTTTAGCTTTAGTAACCTCTCTATTTCAGATACGGGAGATCCGATGTGCCTCTTTGATCTATCGTTAGACGATTTCTTGGTGAACATAAACGTCGGGAGTTGATTTTATTTTGATTTCAATCTAATATATATTAAGGACACTTTCGCTTCTACAATTAATCATCTGGCATGGCTGGTAGGATCAAAAGTCCAGACTTAATATATATTTAGCTCGTTTAGTTTGTAGGTTAGGCATCGCCGATAATCCATGGTTAGTTTTTTTTTTTTTCTATTGCCACATATTTCATCCTCTTCCTCCCTTCCTCTTCGTTCATTTTTTTTGTCTATAAAATTTAAGATTTAACATAGTGAAATAAACTGTACACAATCGAAGATTGAAATTGAGCGTATGTTAAACTGCTAATAACATGATGTGATGCACTAGAATCCAACAACCATTCATATTTTTTTTTTTGATAAGAAAAATGATAGGGCTTCGAACTTTTTAATCTTTTAGGATATCATTCATTCTAGAAATTGTTTCAATGGCGACGATGAGCTTTGGTTCCATCAAGAACAGGTCTTCGTACTTCCAAAAACCATTCGAAAGATTTTCAATGAATTAGATATTTATTCGGACATTATACGTTGGCTTCGAGGGAAAGAAGTATAACGTACAATAGCACAATTATATTTCAACTAATAAAAGTTAGTGAAATTGTAAGAATTTGATTTATAATTTATGTAGTTGTGATATCATATTTTGTGCTGATATGAGGATATTATTGGTTGATAGTATGCAAGTATTTTTATAGCTGTTCTTTGATCCTGAAAGTTTGCTCTAGTCTTGGTCTCTTGAAATGTTACTCACCTAATTTTTTTTTAATAAAAAAACAATCTATCTATCTATTTTATTTTAGTAAAGTATAATAGATTTTCACTGTACATGTACAGTACTGTACATCTACAATAAAAAGTAATTATACATAATATTTTTACTGTTTTTCAGATAATTTTTTAAAAAATATTTTTAATCATAAATTTTTAAAAAGATAAAGGGACAAAAATATTCATAAAGTGGTTAGCTAGAAGCACTCAATATTTTAAAATAAAAAAAATAGTATAAATATTTATAATGTTATGTGAGTGAGTGTAAAAGTGATTAAATTATTAATTTTAATTTAATATCATTAACTTTGATCGTTAAATATTGATTGTACTTGTTTTGTGTCAGTTTTTGTTGATATAGATTAATATTAGAAAGTAAAAGAAGTCGCACATATAAAGATTGAAAAATAGATTATAAATATATAAGTTTAGGAAGTATCTAATCAAATGGCTTAAGTTATTTTAATGGAGTATATTATAATTAAGCACAATTAATATAAAAAATTTTAATAAATAAAGAGGTAAAAATACCTACAAAATTGTTGGCCTGAAGTAAAAATACTAATAATGTTATTAGAATTGGTACAAAAGTGATCAATCCATCAACTTTCTTAAATGTTGACTGTTTAACTGAACCTTAGCTGAAGTTGACTATTTTTTTTGCTAACTTATACAAAAAATATTCTCAAATAAATTTTTGTGGAGGTTGATTGATTGGTATGAGAACCCATAATGTTATTTTAGTATGTGCAATAGTGACTAATCCGTCAAAATTAGTGTCACATAGTTTTTTTTTCTATTGCCACATATTTCATCCTCTTCCTCCCTTCCTCTTCGCTTATTTTTTTTGTCTATAAAACCTAAGATTTAACATAGTGAAATAAGTTGTACACAATCGAAGATTGAAATTGAGCGTATCTCTTACGCCGCTCTACCCTTAGACCTGCATATAGTTTAAAATTATCTAAATATGTTAAACTGCTAATAACATGATGTGATGCACTAGAATCCAACAACCATTCATACTTTAAAAATTTAGGATTGTGATAGGTACATAAACCCAGGTTGTTGCCTCCCATCCCTACAAACTCTTTAGTTGACTCTTTCTTAAGCAACTGAAGTATTTGTTCATACTGCTGTTGAGTGAGAGCAGGGGTCACGATGTTACCTTCTGCTAAAGAAGAAGTTGTAGATGGTCCTCGTGTAGCTCCTACCTCGAAGGACATTTGATTAATTTTCCTTTCTTAGGGTTTCTCCCCATAATTATTTCTGTAATTAGGTGGAAAACCAATAATTTGGTAACAATTGTCATAAGTGTGTCCCTTTTGGTGACAGTGAGAACACTCATCTGAGTTATTGTTTCTTCCTCTTCTACGATTTCTTTCTCTTCTTCCATTCTGGCCACTTCTCGCTGCCATTATAGAAGTATCTCTAAGAGAAGAAGAGAAGGGTGTGGCACTTAGCATCTATTACTCCTCATCTTGGGAAATCATGGCATAAGCCAGGTTGATTGAAGGAAGGGGACTCATAAGAATATGGCCCCGCACTTGTAGATAGGATTCATTCAAACCCATTAAGAACTGAAATAGCTTTTGGTCTTAAATGATGCGAGTATACTCCTTTGAGGTTTGACATTGACAAGTTAGAACAACAACCACATTGGAATATTCATCTCATAAATCGTTCAATTTGGTGTAGAATTGAGACACCATCATGGATCTTTCACTTAAGGTGTGAATGGCATGGTGGAGACCAAAAATCTTTACGGCATTGCATTTATCAAAATGCTATCTCAAATCAATCTAACAACAGCGGCAGATTCAAAAAAAGTGAGACCATTTGAAAGTTCTTTATCAACTGAGTTAATGATCCAAGACAACACAATGGCATTACAACGATGCCATTGTGATTTGAGAGAGTCAGGTTGTACGTCATGCTTGCAAGAATCATCTATAAAGCCGTGTTTGTTCTTTCCTAATAAAGCTATCTTCATAGCTCGACTCCAACTTGGATAGTTAGTAGAACTAGTAAGTAGGTTTGGAATAAGAGTGACAACTTGCGTATCTGAAGGATGGAGATAGAAAGGATGATGAAAGTCGATCATAGTCTTTATGGCAGAATCATATTCACCTCCCATAATCAATTCAACAGCAAGATGGGTGTAAAAATGGGAGATCTCAAATGTGAATAGTGCATTATTGTACATTCTTTCCCTCAAAGCACTAAAGAAATTTGCACCCACGCTCATATACATAACGTCATGAGAATTAAGAGGATGTATTGTGCATATATACGATATATGTATGTGTGTATGCATGTTTCACCATCAAATGTGGAGACATATCAAGCTTGGAGACAGTTTAGTGGCCTTTGTTTTAGTGTTCGAAAACAGAGCATATTTTCAATTGTGATAAAGAACATTATGGTCATTGACGTTTTTCTTAAGTTTCACTTCAAAATGGGTTTCATTCAAGAAAATCATGGTCTTGTTATTAGGATGTGGATTCCATAGTCCATGCATGAATGCATGGAAACATGTGGTAGCGTGAGAGGTATGAGATTAAATCTATCATAGAAAATCTTTATGATGCTAACTACCAATAAAACAGTAGGTGCATGGACAATAGTAACTTTTTCATCTTCCTTCATTGTTTAGTCAGTGCATTGCAGTGGTAAAACCCATTTTTCATCTTCCTTCGTTGTATTAGAGAACGTCATTTCTCATCATCACACTGTCGATAAGGTTAAGGATCTGAGAAAGAGAGAAGGTGAGAGAGATGAGAAAGAGAGGGCGTTGGGGAGGATTCTAGGAACGCCGTCCATTGTGCTTGAAGGTTGATGTGCTGTATGTTCGATTTTAAGGATTCTAATGATGCGAGCTCAACAACAGAGCATGTATGCATGCAAGGTAGGGGACTCACCAGTGTTCCATAACTCAAGGCATAGATTAATGATTGAGGATGATGACATGTTCTTAGCAAGTCTCTTTCTACTAGAACCAAGCTCTAAGGGGGAATGACAGAGATTAGTTTGAGAATAATGTCATTGGGAAGAACATTTTCTAAATTAACAAATCTCAAGAACAATAAGCCACCCAATCAGCAACTTTGCTTTGTTCTTCCATAAGGGATAAGGGCCTTGTACATAGATCTTTCAGTTTTATCCCAGGGATAAGCCAGAAATCATCAAAGAAGGAAACATTTTCTCTATTGTGAATTTTCCATTTAGTGCCTTCTTTATTAAATCACTTTATTGGAAAATAAAGTGCTAAAGTTGAGAGTCCTTTTTTAGCTTTTAAAAGATCACTATCATTTCAAAGCATATACTTGTGTAGAAGGATGTTTGCCCATAATCCTTTTGCCCCAGAGACTAGTTTCCATGCCAATTTAACACCATATGCTATATTTATAGAAGAGAGTTTTTTAAACCAAGACTACTGTGCTCCTTAGGGAGAGAGACATTATCCTAATTCAGAGGATGAAAACTTTGTCCATAAGAGCCTTCTCAATCAAGTTCCTCTATATTTTGTCAATTTTATTATAGATGGTGACAAGAATTTTAGAGACTTGTATTGGATATAAGGGAGTGGAGCTTAACACAGTTTTTGCTAAAGTGATTCATCTAACAGTAGAGAGACAATTAGCTTTCTAACTTGCTAACTTACTCTTAAGTCTCTTTAAGATATATTGAAAACATTCTCTGGGCTTTGATTGGGTGGCAATAGGAAAACCCAGGTAATTTCCTATATCAGTAGAAATATGCATTCTAGTGACAAACTTAATTTTCCTTTTAATCATAGCCATTACATTCTTGGAGAAGAAGAGAGATGACTTAGAGAAGTTGATTTTCTCCCCTGAGGTATAATTAAATTTTTGTAAGTACTTAATCATAGTAGTAGCTTATGCTTCAGTAGCTTCACCAAACAAAAGGATATCATCGGTAAACATAACATGTGACACCGTAATGCCCGAGGAGGAAACAAATATGGGTTTCAACCTTCCATCATTAACAACATCACTAATTAAATGAAATAATTTATCCATGCATAAGGCAAAGAGAGAAGGTGAAATAGGATCTCCTTGTCAGAGTCCTCTAGCAGGATTAAAGAAGTTAGAGTGCTCACAATTCCAAAGAACACCATAAAAAATAGTGGAAATACAGTTGAAGATTAATTGAATAAATTTAGAATTCATTCTAATATTATAAAGAACCTGTTAGAGATAATCCCATTTAATGTAGTTAAAAGCTTTTTCCAAGTCCACTTTTGCAACATCATCGATTTTAAATT